GTCACTCTAAAACTTCCAGAAGAATAATTGCTGTACAAATGCAAGATAGTACATTATATCATCATGACAATTTTACTCTAAAGCAAGACATGATTGTTCTGGGAGACTGATTTTAAAGGGCATGGCTATTTCAATCAAAATCTACTTTAAAAAAAAAAACACTTTTCAATGTACGATTGACATATAAATAGCTGTACCTATTTAATGTCTACAAGTTGATGAGTTCGGAGATAAGCAGACCCGTGAAACCCTCACCACTCTCTATGCCATAAACACATCTGTCACCTCCAAAGGATTCTACATGCCATCATCACAGCTACTGCTACTACCTCTGCAGCCGCTGCTACTGCTGCTACTACTCCTGTGACAGGGACACTTAACAAAAGATTTACTCTCCTAAAAAACAAAAACAAACACCTCATTTCAAAATTAAAAAAAAAAATTCCTAACAAAATTTTAAGCATACATTACAGTGTCATTAATTCTAGATTCTATGCTGCAAGGACAGCTCTAGGACTTCTCATCTTGCAGAACTGGAAGTTTATATCCTTTGCCTGCTACCTCCCCAGCAACCCCCTCCCAGCCCCAGCAGCCACCCATCTCCTCTGTGCATCTGTGAGTTCAGCTCTTCTAGATTCCTCCTATAAATGGCCCCATGTGTTTGTCTTTCTAGGTCTGGCTTATTTTGCTTAGCATGATGTCCCCAGGTTTATCCACGCTGTTGCAAATAAGAGGATTTCCTTTTTTTCTTTAAGGCTTAATAATGTCCTGAAGGGCTCATTTAAAAAAATAAATGAGCTTTTTAGACCAGCTGGCTTCAGGGATGCTTTGCCTGAGAGTCCGTGGCAACCATGGTTCCTTTTTCCTCCTTGTTTAGTCCCAGGGCTGGAAGGAATAGGATTTTGTGTGAGAATCTCTTGGGATGTGCATGTGTGTGTGTGTGTGTGTGTGTGTATGTCTGCACATGTTGCAGCCACACAGGGACAACCAGTGACACTGAGCCCTGAGTCACATTTCATAGCCTGCATAATGCTGCCCTCGTCCCTTTTTGTCTGTCAGGTGACAGGACAGCTGTTATGTCCCAATTCCCAGAAGAGGAAATGGAAACCTCAGAAACCCAGTGCCTGGGGGCTGGGAGCTGAGAGTGGAGCCCCCAGGGTCCTCTGCATCTGGGCTCTGCTCCTCCAGAGACGGGTCAGGACAGGGTGGTGATGGCTAGACGTTGGCCTGGGCTCTGGAATCTGAAGCTCAGGGCCACCTCCGAGGCGGCTGGCTCTCCAGAGGCCCTGCCTGTTGTTTATTCGGGGATCCTGGGACAGGGCTTGGAAACAGCACCCCTGCTGCACAAGAATTTCAGAGTTGGCCAGGTACCATGCAGCTCTCCAGGGAAGTGCCTGTTGAATGCTGCTCCATCTTTCAGGCACTCCAGGGCAGCACAGGAGGCTGGTGGCTTTGGTGTAGGGGAGGATATTTCGCTGAGAGAGAAGGAAGCTCTCCTCCTGCAGTGACGAATTGGATGCGGTCCCTAAGGAAATTCTGGCCAACGGGAGGGCAGCCTCTGTATGTACTGCCAGAAATGTCCTTCTACCCGAGGCTGAGGGGCATCTGGAAACCACAGTTGCCAACCAGTCACCAGGCGACTTTCCTAACCAAAGGCTGGGTCACAGGCCAGGGTCTGCGCGCACTTCAGAGTGTGCAGAGATGTGCACAGTTGAAGGCAGAGTGGAAGTCAGGCCCCCGCCCGCAGAGAGTGGACAGTGGGATGTACTGGGGCGACCTGAGGGCAAGATGGGAGGCTGAGAGTGGTGGTGGGGGGAGGTGTGTGAGCAGGGTGTGTGAGAGAAGACCTGGCCCCAGACTGCCGGCTCTGGTCATCTGGTGGACCTGAAGCGGTGCGAGCGCCTCCTCCCACAGGTAGCCATCTGCCTGTCACTTTCTGGGAGCTGGCTGCAGCTCTTTCCTGACTGTTGTTGGACACTTGTAGTTCTTGCTGCCGCTGGCCTGGCATCACCTCCCTAACACCTCCTCAATTCTCTGGAGCCGTAGGTCAGCCTGGAGTTGCTGGCTTCCTGCTGGAGTCCCTGGCGGATCGGAGGCAGCCTGGCCCTGGGCTTGGTTCTGCCCATGTGGCCCTGGGCTGAACAGGAGAAGGCGTGGGGTGGTCAGATCCCTGACTGAGAAGGGAGCCCTCACAGGGCAGGTATATGGCGGGGGCTGGTGAGGAACCTGTGTCTTTGGTATCACAGGACCTTAGGGTCTGTTCCCCGGGATGCAGGCTCATCTGGGGCCTGACCCTTCCTCCCACCTCAACACTCTGGACAGTCCTCTGTCCTTCTCTGAGGGTGCCCTGCTCCTTTTCTCAGTGAACTGTCACACCCCCACCCCCATTCTATATCCCCTGAGCTCTGGAACAATGTCTGTTCAGTCCCCACTGAAACAGGAAGTTCTCCAAGAACCTTTGTTGAATGAGTGAATTAGTGAATGAATGAATGAATGCATGAAAACTTGGCAACTCTGTGGCTTGTATGCTGTCCAGACTTTACACTTGATTCTTTGAGCAGTACAACTGGAGGGCAGGGATCTTCTTCTGCAGCTGAATAGAGGTCAGACTTGGGGGGCCAGTGTTTGGGGGTATCACTATGTCTAGGGGCATTGGGGAGCACTGAGTGTGGGCAGTGTGTCCAGGGGCAATGGGGGGCAGTGTGAGTGCTGGAGGCACTGTGGGGGCCACTGTGTGCGGAGGGGTGCTCCGTGAGGGGTTGTGGGGGGCCAATATTGGGGGGAGGGGAGGAAGGACAGCCCCTCTGGGAAGGCAGACAGCAGCCTCTTTGTGGGTGCTTCTGCAGGCTTTTCTTCCCATGCCCTTGGAGGCTCCCCTACCTGGCATTCCCCAAGTCCCAGGCGGGGACTTCCTGCTACTAGGTGTTGATTACAGTTTGCAACGCAGACTGTACGGGAGCCCCACGCTGCTCCACACCGCAGAAGTTCCCCTCTACTCTAATGAGGTTTCAGCTAGAATGCTGGAAAAAAGACAGTCTTTTAATTAGATTGGTAGTAATTGAGCTCCCAAACCACAGAAGCTTTTCTCTCAGAAGATGAAGACATGATGCAATTAAAAGGAGGCAAGCCACCTAAATGGAACACTGGCTAATTTTAAGTCCATTAAAAACAACAACGCCTTAATAAGTTGAGACAATGGGTATAAGTCCTAAGAGTTTATCGTTGCTTTCAGGTGACCATGGAGACTGAACCGGAACTAGCGCCTGCCTGTGTCCACACCCAGATGTGTGGCTCTGACGGGGATCATGTGCCCTGTGAGGAGTGGGGTGAAATAGCAGCTCCACAGCTTCTTCCACTGAAAATCCCTGGCATGTTTTATTTGCAAAATGAGGAGTATTTTTTTCTGTAACCCAACTGGCAGCTTCTTCTGGACACAGTCCCTGCCTGAGTCCCTATGGAACTTCATCTCTTGTCCCTCCCCAGCAGCTCTTTCCTCTATGGGGGGAGACTCCCCGCTCCCCCACCCCTCATCTCACCTCTCTAAGGTGTCCCGGGTGTGACCGGCTGGGGCAAGACATCCTGCCTCCAAAAGTTTGTGTCAAACCCTTATATGTTCAAAGTATTTTTATTTTAATGAGAAGCAGGACCAGCTCTCGTTCGCAGCCTTGCCTTCTGGCCGCCCCAGCAGACGCCACGTTCTTTTTCCTCTGGGTCTGTCTGTGAAAACCCTCAGCCGGAGGAGCTCATAGTCTCGGCTTCAGGGCACGTTCTGCACGGGGCATTAATAAATAATTTCTCCTGGAGAGAGTGGCAAATGCTAATTTACAGAGTCCTTAGGCTGGAATCGAGCGCTGCATGCTGGATAACAAGCACCATGAATGCGGGAACCCGCCCTTTTGTCTCCGTGCCCTCTGGCTTTGGCCAGACCTCGCGGGGCCTGGCCAACTGTGCTAAAATGCCGCTGCATCCCAGTCGGAAAGGCTGATGCCCTCCGAGCACCTGCTTGGCATAGATGTTGCTCCTGGTGGCTCCCACACATAGAGGGTATACAGATGTTGAAACATCAGCTCTCCAAATTTGAATGAGTCCTGCATAAAGTTCATTCACCTTCCTGAGCCTTAGCTGGTTCGTCTGGACAGGGTCCACCTTGCCGGTGTGTGACAGGGCCTGGCATGCTGTGTGGTAGAGAGAGGATGAGAAGAAAGTCAAACTGACCAGAGACAGGGATCAGCGAAGGTGGGTCCCACACAACCTGCTCTGGACCACGTCCCCTCCCCCCTTCTGGGGGAGCACTGAAGGGAGAACACAAAATATTTAGATTTTTTTCCAAGTTGTAATTTTTTTTCTTTTTGTGTAGAAGAACCGGGGTATAGGCTAGAGGTGCGGGGGCTGTGAGGATTCACCAGAGACAGAGTAGGGAGCAAAACAGGTGGATTTACTGAAATGCACTGCTGGGGGGGGCAGCAGGCAAGACAGGAGAGGTCTGCTGTGCCATGTGGGTCACCTCCCTGACCGGGGATCGAACTCAGGTCGTATTGTTTTGCTGAGACTCAACCCCTAGGCCACCAGGAAGGCCCTCTTTAGGTTTTTTTTAAATCTCAACATATTCTCATAATAAACTCAACTTTAAAAAGCTGAAATTTGCATCCAATTTTATCTTTAAGTACTTAAATTATATTTAAAAATGTGCAAGGGGAAAATAAGCACAAACATTAGCAGGTGCCACCTCCCAGCTGAGGGTGTTACAGCATTTTCATTTTCTTCTTTAGACTTTGCTGTCTCCTGTAGATGGTCTATAATAAATGTGTTATTACTTCAGAATAAATAGGAAAGCTTCACTCCAGGCTCATGTCATATTTGAACATTCTCAATGCCTTCAAATTTGCCCATACTCGGACAGTCCCAGTAACCACAGTCCCATAAAAATAAGTGTCTTGCCTTCTTTTGTAAACCACAGAAACCACCTTTAAGTTTCTTTTTTTTTTTTTTTTTTTTTTAAGGATGAGAAGAACCAAGTTCTAACCACCAACATTTGGCTGCAAATGGTAAGTTGACACAATGGCAGTGCCTCCTGCAAGGGCTTTTCTGCTCTCCTGTGTCTCTCTTGCTTCAGAGAGACACTCACACTGGAATTTCAGAGAATGCAGAGGTCCCAATAGAAAAGTCAGGACTTTTGTCCCTGACTCCATACCTCCCCACAGTGAGGTTAAAAAAAAAAATTCACCTTTGCATGTATCTACAGCACTACAGTTTGCAGGGCTCAATACCCGCCTGTATGTCTCTACTGGGAATTTGGGGAAATTTCAAAAGTGCTTCACTGGAAATGCATGATAAGCTGCAGGTATACAGTGGGGTGGCCATAATCTGCACCCTGAATGGTCCTCCGGGCTCACTTGCTCTCAGTACCATCCAGACACACCTTAGAATCCTAGAGGTTGCTTCAGCCAGAGGTCTTCGTAGTTCCTGCTCTGGTAATGTTGCAGTTTTGAAATGGTGTATTCCATTCATGAATTTGTAGCTTGACAATTAATATTCTCACCTAAATTTAATTGCAAATGATGTCACTTTCATCAAGTTGTAAATCCAGTTGATCATTGAACAACTTGGGGGTTAGAGGTATAGACCCCTCACATAGCTGAAAATCCATGTGCATAACTTAACAGTCAGCCCCCTGCACCGTGTGGTTTCTGAATCCACGGATTCAATCAATTGACATCCATGGTTAGTGGACTCTTTTCATGTGAAACAAGTGAAAGAACAAAAAAATCTTTGCAGACCATCTCAGTTCAACCTCATGTTGTTCAAGGGTCGACTGTATTGCCATTTAAGAATCAAACTCAGTCTCCATTTTAAATGGGATCTAAAAAGCATAATAATTTAATGCACATATATCATTTAAAAAAATATATGGACAAGCCCTTCTTTGACAGCCAGATATTTCACATAGTATAATCCTGGTTCAATTTCAACACATAATTTTATCCTAATATAATACAATTTTATGTCTGAAAGTCTTTTATTAATCACTGTATTTTGATGTCCCAAATGTAAGTATTTTTATAAAAATGATTTCTTCAGACAATAAATGTTAAAATGTTTTTCTTCTGGGTCAATTTTGGGTTACAATGATTATTGGTACATAATTTATCAAGGTGACATTCATTACAAATTTTAATAAATAATTATTAAACGTGAAAGCATTGTAAATGAATCTCTCTACCAAAGATGGGGTTTTGCTTTACGTTAATTTATGTATTCATAGATGGTGATTTTTTATTATTAGAAATGAGACACTGATAAAGGTTTTACCATCAATTCTGTAACTTTTAAAAATAGATGTAGTGTTCAGGCAGAGTTCATAATGAGAGGCATTTCGTTATTCAATTCCTTCAACTTTATCCAGATTATATGCCAAAAGTAATGTAGTTTTCATCAAGGGGAATCAGCTGACAACTTAAATAGTTTGTTCTTCAATTTTGTCGAAAGCAAAGAATTAAAGGCAGGAAAATCCACCTGATCTCTGACAGTATTAGTTACCAATTTGTAAGATCGTTCACATAGCTCCTCATATTTTGACTTGACTGCTTGTTTGAGGGACAAAAGTAACAGGGTAAGAGTTGAAATAAGGGGAAAATGTCTTTGTGAAGTGGAGTTGAGAGAAGTAACCATAGAGGCAAAGAACATTCCCAGGGGCTTCCTGGGCAGGTGACTTTTAGTGGGAAAACATGTAAAATTGAGGGACAGAAAACAGACTTACTTGTGCTTAGCTACATGTGAGACCTTGCAGAACCCACTCTTCATAAATACAGGAGGAACCTTTGAGAGTTTTCCCTGCATCGTGAGAGGACCTTTCTTCCGTGAGTGTGCCCCAGCTTCACACCTGTGTCCACCTACACAGGCCTGGGAGCAGGCCTGTTCTTCCCCTGCCCTCCTTGATATCGTGTACACACACACACACACCCCACCCCAGGGCCTTTGCACTTTCTTGCCCTGCCTGGAAAACTCTTTCCTCAAGAACAGCTTGCTCTTCTCCCATACTTTTAACAAGTCTCTTCCTAAAGATCCTCTTTCAGTGGGGACTTCTTGTGTTCCTATGTTCTGACCAAACACCTTCTTTCCTATCCACAGCCCATTCTGTTGTCTTTACCTAAGTCTTACTCAGCTCAGGGCACTGTAACAAAATACCATAAACTAGATGACTTGTCAACAACAGACATTTATTTCTCCTAGTTCTAGATCTAGAAGGCCAAGGTCAGGCTGCCATCGTGGCTGGGTGCTGGTGAGAATCCTCTCCCAGGTTCTAGAGCAGAAATCTAGTTCTCCCCATGCTTTCCATCAGGGCTAATCCCATTGGGAGAGCTCCACCTTCATCACCTAGTCACCCTGGGAGTCTCCATTTCCAAACACCTTCACATCTGGACTAGGGTTATAACATGAATTTGGGGGTAGGAAGGGACCATGCAGAGCCTATAACACCCTGCTTCACTTTGTTTACAATACACTTGTCACCATGTGACATCCTGTGTGTTATTGTTCTTTTGTTCATTGCCTCTGAGCCTCCCTCCCCCACCAGAAAGTATGCGAAGGAGGATGAGGCTTTTTTTTCATTTGTTGTCTACCCCCAGCTCCATGCTCCTGCAGACACTAAGTAACTTTTGTGGAATAAATGAATGAAACAAAATACTCAAGGTGAACCTAGAAGAGCTAAGATACTATCATGCAAAATAAAGCCAACCCCCAAATAACCTCTGGACTCTGTAGCATGAGATAAAGCTCTGGAAATTCTGGGGGATGAGGCAAGTGCTTCCTTTTTTACATAAAGTTAGAAATTTCCCACGCCCTTAAAGATACAGAGATGCCGTGATATCTTCCTTAAAAAGCAAAACACCTAATATGCTAAGGTGTGTTAGGTCATGGATAGACCTGTCTCCCCAGTGCCTCCCCAGACCTCCCCAGTGTCTCTTCAGTGCCTACAATTCTGGGCCCAAGCAAGTGGTTAATCTTCAACAACAGAGATGATTTGACATTTTTTCAAAGGGTGTTGGTTTCCAGGAAAAATATTCCTGCTTCATTACTTACTGTTGAGGAGTTCCATAAATAAACACTCTTGCTTTGGAGGAGCTCACCAGAGACCTCTAAATTTCTTTCAAGCACAGCTTATTTCTAATTAAGACTTGCACTTGGAGAAGCATCTGCAGCTTCATTTATTTTAAAACTCGCCTTTTTATCTCATTTGCCTCTTTATCTAATCTCCTGGAACACCTGCTAAGTAGAAGGCATTGGACTAGGTGACTCGTGTGAGGACTCACACATGGATGAAACCCAGATTCTACTTTTAAGCCACTTACAATCAGGCTGTGCAATTTGTTTTCTAACAAGAAGGTTAAAATAGCAAAACCAATACCTCCCTAAGAAAAGGACAGGAGGCAGGCTCGTAATGTGGACAGTGGGGCTTGCAGGTGGAGAAACCTCTGCTTTTCAGAAATGAAAGGGAGAGAAGAAAAGACACGGGCTCTGCTAATGGGAAGATCTAAGAACACTGGCATTTCTAGATGTGGTACCAGGAATTCATGCTTTTTTCCAGCTGTCCAGCACATGGGAAGCTCGCTGGGTGCCTGTGTAGCAGGACACCAGTGACACCTATATCTGGAAAATGGAGCTTACTGGAAAGCTGTGACTCTAGCTAACAACTGAATTATAAGGAATCAAAAGTGTCTTGGCTTTAGAACAACCTTAGTCACCTAATTGGAACCTATGCACCCACCCAATATTTCCATCTGGAAAGCTGTGTCACTCCTACTGTGTCACAGCTTAGACCTGATTGCAGCTGTCCAGGCCTCAAAAGCTGCCCTGGGATCATTTATAAAGCAGCCACTACTGTGATGCCTGCTCTTTTTTGTCCCTGTCTGGTGACTAGCCTGGCCTGACCCCGCTCAAATAATGGATGTGCACATCACCCAAGCACACACCCACCACAGGGCCTTTGCACTTGCTTCCCCTGCCTGGGTGCATAAGCAAAGCTTGATACCGAAGGTGGTCAGGGCCCAGAGTCCCCAGGGAGAACAGAACATGGACAGAAGAGGAATAGAGAGTGCAGGAAAGTGCTCCCAACAAGTGGGTGTCCCCTCCACCCCCAAGTTTCATGTTGCCAAATTCCTGTTCTGAAAATCTGAATCTACATCATCTCTTCTCCAGAATAACTGAATTCTGGGGCTAATATTCTACAAATGATAGATTTCCCATGTATTCAAAAAATAGAAGAGGCAAAACAATGAAAATAAATTCTCTTTGACCTCTAGTTTGTGATTTCCCCCCATTATCTCGCATTCTTAGGGTTTTCCTGTTATTGAGATAACCTGAAGGAATAGAAAGTCTCTTCCTATTCCCAAGGAGGAAGCAGTTAGTGTATTTTCTCTGCAGATAAGTTTTATGATTTGGGGAGGCCTGACAGACATAATCTGATTTAATCCATGTGAAGAAACAGCTTCTGGAGAAACATTTGAATCACCCCAAGATTTGCATTTGTCTTAGAAACATCTGTCTTATGGGATTTTAGCCATTCTTTTGGCTTTAGATTTCTCATCCTTCTTGTGTTAATTCTCTATATTTTACCTCCTATTTCTGATCATGGAACTAGGAGCACTCACACTGTAGACTGTCAGAATGCAATCCGTATTTATTACTAAAGTGTTTTCCTTGTTAATTTCTGCACATGCCACGGAGTAAGTCAGACAGCTGAGGAGGTATAAGAGCAGGACTCAGACGGCTGAGATGGCTGGAGTGTGCTCTGCTGGGGAGTGCCCTCAGCTCAGTGGCGGTGACAGTACAAGTTTGCTTTTGAAGATCAAGTGCCCCCACCCACTCCAGACAGCCCTCCCTGCCTTGCCCTGCCCATCATTTCAGCCTGCCATGCCCACCGTCATGGGCACTGCAGACAGCCTGATGACCCTGCTCTGTGGGTAGTAAGAGTGACAGTGACAGGCCCTGTGACCATCAGTCACCAACCCAGAGCACCCCAGGGTGAGATATAATACTGTGGTTAAAAACCAAAAACAAAAACACAGGCATTGGGCATAGAAGGACTTATGCTCTGAAAGGGAGAGAAAGGGAATGCCAGGTAAATGGTGCAGAGAGGGAGCAGCTGTGGCAAACAGCAGGCCAGTGCCCAGGGGTTCTTGCAAGATGGTGTGAACAAGACTGGCCGTTCTGGGGACTGGGAGACTGGCCTCCCTTCCCCTCTCTCCTCGTCCTAAGCCCTCTCCCCTCATCCCTTCCCTCTCCTTCCTTTCTCTCCTTAGCCTTCCTCTCCTCATCCTTCCAGCCCCCAAGTACCCATGTAACTAGAAATATCAATGGGTAGGTCTCTATCCTAAATGCCTCTGAGGATACTTTAGCACATCTTACGTTAACACATTCTTATTATCAGGGGCCCATGGCTGTAGAATGACCTTACTCATCTGGACACTCCCTTCTGTCTGAATTCAGAGTGGCCAGAGGTGTGACAGCCCTCGGGGAAGCTTGCCTGATCTCTCCAGAGGTGGTGGGGTCTCCGGGATGCTCTTTAATGCCTTGATGCCAGTCTCAAGAGCCCTAAACCCACCACTCCTTGGCTGCAATTCCAAAACCCAACAGCTCTGAGCAGTAACTTTCCCCCCTTTGATGTCATTTTTGTACTTGACATCACACTCATTGGCTCTAGACTCAAACTGAAATTGATGCGAGACAGAGGCATTATTTTGCATCTCGCTTAGTATCCATATGCTTGCTTTGCTACAGAACTAATGACCTGTTCTGTTATGGGGACATACCCCTCTCCTAGCTGGGGTGTTCCATACCTTTCTAAATCTGACAGAGTTGAGCTGTAGGGCACAGATGGCCCCTGGGGGTTGGACATAGGATGGGGGCCCATTCCCATGGCTGACTGGTTATGGTGCTCTCGTCAGAACAGTCGAGTCCCAGCCTGCCAGCCCTGAGACCTGGCTGGGTAGCGCTGGTCATAGAGCAGCTGCAGTGAGCACCACACCTGAGCAGTTCTTGCTGAGCTAGTGGACCCCAGAGAGGACTGGCATGCCTGGTGTGGGAGGGAGGACCCAGCCCAGCCTTCCTTTGGCAAAGGTCACCTGAGAACCAATAAGGAGAGTCATGTTTGGGAATGCTTCCTAGTCCTCACCTGTGCCCTTGTTTCCTGTTCTGAATTTTTCCTCTGAGGCTGAGTGTTTGCTTGGTAAGGCTGTGGCATCAGAAGTGTTGTTCCCGCGAGAATATATGAATTCAAGTTTGAAAACGAGCCTTTAGACATTGCTGAGAGGCTCCTGTGTACCTGCCAAGGTTGTTCCATGGAAATGGATAGTTGACATTTCTCCATTCTGGACCTTATTACCATTGAAATAAGTGAATTTAATTCCCAAAGTGACTTTACAATGGAAAACTTTGAAAGCAAAACCGTTATTCATTTGACTAGAAATAACCATCTGCCGTGGGAGGGGAAGGCTGGGGGCGTGCAATGGGCCGGAATTCACTTTAAAGCCTCAGTTTGGATGTGGTAATGGTGACAGCAGGACCCGAAATGTGATTTTTATGCTATTCATGGTCATTTCAGAAGGGATTATTTAATCTCCAGTTCCTTATCCTTTATAGAGAGCAACTCAATTATGTAAATAAATGTCTGGAACTCTTTTTGGCTTTGGATTTATTGAATAATCACACATAAAATTATTAGTAGGCAAGGAAGCAGCGTGCTACTAATGTCATTGTCTGTGTGTGTCAGTCTTGGACAGATCACTACTTACAGTGGAATATGTCAGAATATCCGGGCGTGAAGACTGTGCGCTTTCCAGATGGCCAGATCTGGAAGCCAGACATTCTTCTCTACAACAGGTAAGCACCCAGGGCAGAAGGAAAAGCAAGTTCATTCTGGCATGTTTACCCATCAAAAAGCACCAGATTGTGCTAATTGTCATTAGCACCGCTAATGACATTACCTATTATTAGCGACCATTGCTCCCGTGATGCCCTGTATGTGGCCAGACCTCCGAGGAGCAGCCCTGTCCCCTTCTCCATGTTCTGTGCCTTGGGATATAGGCTCTTGTCACCTGCCTTGCTGCCTAAGCTGCTAGCGTCCATGTTCTGTGCATCATGGTTACATAGACGTTTGTCTGGATGCTCGTGCTGAGCATCCTGCGTGCCGCCAGGACGGGCAGCCTAAGTTGCCAGCCTATAGGATGCCTGGCTGGACCGATGTTTGAGGCAAGTGCCTCATTTGCTGTCTCCCCATCGTGTGTCTGGAGAGGCCTGCTGCACAGGTCACTGAGTTCTCATCGTGCAGTTCTGCGTACCTGACAGGAGAAAGGCAGCAGTGGGTCATGTTCTTATAATCCTTCTCCTGAGGTCAAGAAATAAGGGGTTTTCCAGGAAGCCCAGGTGGTGAAAGTTGCAGACTAGAGGCCCACAAGACAGGTATCCAGACAGGGTGAATTTCTAGAAGGATTAAATTCATTAAGCCACAGTGTCAGATAAGAGAATCCAGAGCATGACTTGCCAATAAGGTCTGGAATCTGATAACCAAGGTAACATAAAGGAAAGGTGTTTACTAACTATGCTGCTGGTCTCACCTGGAAGAGAAGAATCCCTGCGCCACTGCCCTGTGCCTTGGGCCACTACCCTGGGTGGTCACACGGTGGTCACCTGGGCATGCACATAACCCACTGACCTGTTGGTCTTACAACAGCTGCTTCCAGAAAACTGGGTGATTCCATTTCTTTTAATTCTTTCTTTGTCTTTCTTGCTAGTCTTCTCATCTCACTGGAGTCATTGGTTCTGTGTCTAGATAGGTACCCGCTTCAGTTTGCTTCTCCACGGCTGCTTAAATTTGTTCAGACAACATATCTTTGAAACATGTCTAAAGCCACAGGAAGTGTCTCTTATTGAGTGGGGGAAGCACATGAATTTCTGTGCTTGGCCTTGGGGTCTTCTGTTTCCTGACGGTGCATAAGTTCCCCGGGGCTGCCATTGTTTAAGACTTAACTGACTTAAACAAGAAAATGTTATGGCCTCACAGCTCTGGATGCTTGGAAGTTCAAGATGGCGTTGGGTTTGGTTTGTTCTGAGTCCCCTCCTCCTGTAAACTGCCACCATCTCCCTATGTCCTCTTGGCTTTTTCCTCTGTGTCTGTCTGTCCTTGTCGCCTATTATAAAGACAATCATAGTGGGCTAGGGCCCACCCATGTGACCTCCTTTTGCCTTAACTTTTGCCTCTTTAAAAACTCAGTCTCCAAATACAGTCACATTCTGAGATATTGAGGGTTGGGATGCCCTCATTTAGATTTGGGGGAGGCACAATTCTGCCTGTGGCAGGGACATTGCTGTCAGCTGCATAAGGATGAGGGATGTGATGAGCCAGATTGGGTGACAACCTTAGCCAGAATAGTTACTAAGTCTATGACATTCAGTTTCAGATTGTTCCTTGGCAAAACAGGGAAATGCCACTTGATAAAGTTTGGAAGGATAACTCTGCGGATGCAAACTTTGTGCAGCTCGTTTCGTGTATGGTATTTTGCAAAGAGTAAATATTCAGTAACAGCACTTGTGTATTTAAGGTCATGAGAATGAGGATTTCAATTTAGAGTAAGATGGTATGACAATTTACAGAAGAAATGTCAACACTATTTTTTATTGTTCTCAATTCAGTTTTTTTTTTTAATCTGAACTCACGAATATGATCTGGCAGATTATTAATAAAGAGGTTTTAAGAGATGGTTCTCACAGCGTATGTGTAAGATCTTAAACCCCAATAAATAAAATGTTTTGCCGATTCAAATGTTCTGGTATGCTTATGTCATTCAATTTCAAAGTATAAAGTTACGGTGGTCTCTGCTTGGCTAACGTCGCCAGGACCAGGTCCTCAGGAAAAATGCCACTTTCTCCATACCTGACCCACCTGAAGGCCCCAGAACGCCTTTCTGCTCATCTTCCCTCCTTGAACTCTCAGAATGGTCCTTCTCTTTCCTCTTCTCCCCCGCTTCCCATTGACCTTGCCATCAGGCAAGGCATTTAGGGAGGCTGCTTCCTTCTCTGTTTCGGCTTTTCTCTGAAATGGGAGGCAGGACGTCCTTTCTGCGGTAACTGCTACTTCTGTGGCTGGCACCTCCTTCACCATGCACACCTTGCGGACAAAGCCGCTTACCAAACACATTCATCCAGTCACATCCATAGTGGCTGTTATTTTTACTGCCTAACAGACACTCCTGACCTTAGTGGCTTAAAACAACAGCTTGCAATTTCTTTCCACACTGTGGGCTAACAGTGCCCGGAGGCTGCTTGGCCACTCCACGAGATGTGGATGGAAGTAGTCAGCTGGGTTTCGATGTATGGAAATGTGAGGGTATGGCTGGCAATGATGAGGCGTCTCTGGGCGCTCAGTGGGAGTAAGCACTGTGCCACCCAGTTTCCTACAAGAGCCTTTGCCTCATGTTACAGGTGTCCCCCAGCTTAGTGGCTGGGCGTGCTGTAAGAGGAAGAAATTGGGGCACCAGGGCCCATGTGCCACATTCTGTTGGGCAGAGTGGACAGGGATCTAGCCTGGATTTAAGGGGGGGCTGGCCCCACTTCTGCAGGAAACACAGAGAGGGAGGCACGCCAAGACGACTTGCTCTGCAGAGCCCAGTTGCCCCCTGTTAAGAAGGGAAATGTTGAAATAGAAAGGGCAGGTTAAAAACAGGGGGAAAATGGAAAGACTAGAAAAGATATAAGATGGAGGGAGCCCCTAAAAGGAGCACCAACCTACCTGTTCCTTGCTAGGGCCAGGAGGAGGGGGAGACAGACAGTTTCCAAACACAAAGCACTCCCCTATCCCTGCCCTGCCCTGCCCTGCCCTGGGGGCTCCTCTGCTGTTTGGATCCCCTTCACACTGCCTGAACCCAAGTATGAGTTCTCTGCCCCTCCCTCCTGCAGCTTCCCCTTGCATCTGCTGCCTGGCGTGTGTCTTACAGCACCTCAAAGTACCTAGACTCCTTCCCGCTACAGGACATTGATATGGCCCCTGCCCACCTTGGTCTCTCATCCCTCCAGCTTCCACTGAGCCCCAATGCATCTCTCTGTCCTGTGCCCACCTAGAAAGGGGCTCCAGTCCCCTGTGGCAGGCAGGGTCTGCCACCTGTCCCCCACCCCTTAACAAAGAGCACTTAATAAATACCTGTGCGCAGACCAGCTGGGATTAGGAAGGGAGTTTGCAGGAATTAGGAGGAGGCATGAAGAGAATGGCTCTGTGTGATGCCAGGGCTGCTAAGAACAGTGCAGCAGATGCAAAGAATCAGGCTGGCAAACCAAAAACACAAAGCTGTGACCAAGTGAAAAAAACTGACATGGAAGTAGCAAAAGCACACCGGAATTTAATAAGACCCTGACCTTCTGGAATTCTGTTACTAGGGATTTTGAAAGATGTTAGACTGAATGTTTTCCACTAGCTTCCAGCACTCAAAATGATCTGTCCTCTCGATAGGCTCATGTGATACTTCATTAACATGGGCGGGGGGTCTGGCTTTAAAGAGGGGGACATGCCATCATTCTCTGGAAGCCATTGCTTTGAAAGGAGCATTGATTCAGGGTAGGTGAAGCACCATAAACATGTCCATCACATTCCTCTCTATATTCCAGTTTGATATTAGAGTCCATGCGTGAGCTGCTAATGGCTTTTGAGATGTAATGCATTTCCCTGCTTTGAAGAGTCTGGGTCGTTGTCGAACAGCCATCTCTGCATCATTTCTGGGATGGGCTGAGTTATTTCCCTGATGGATGGGGAACAAGTTACGGTGTTGCCAGCCAGCTGGCTGGGGTCGCTCTGAGCAGAGGACAGTGCTGATAAAAGCCTCCCTGCTGGTTGCTGATCCCAGTAGTTCTGGGTCGCTTTATCCTGCTTTTCTTTAAGCCTGCAGTTCAAGGATTTTTCTGAATACAGTCTTGCTCAAAGTGAATAGCTACTGTAGATGGCTCATTATGATTTTCCCCTTTGGAAAGAATCAAAGGCCTCCTGCTTCCAGCACTTGGCTTGCAGAGGATAACCTGAACCCCAGCGGTGTTTCTGATGGCCCTGTGCTGTGCAACTATGAGCAGCTGTCTCAGCCTCTCTGGGAAGCTCCGAGTTGCTCAGGCAGAAAGTCCTATAAACTTTGTTGATCGAATGACTTGAAGATGTTTTTGTTGGCTTTGAATTCTTAGGACAGGGTAGGGGCAACAACCATTCCTTTATTATAGCCTGTGCATAAACAGTCCGTGCAAAACTACATTTGCAGGCTCTTTACTGGCTCGGGGACTCTTTCTGTCACACGTTCCTGTGACCGTGTGGCTGGCTGCAGAGCCCAAGGAAGGGACAATGTATACAGGACACACCTGGGCACCGTGTGAAGACTCATAACAGTGCTGATCAATGACTCACCTGGCAAATGGAATGCATCCCCTTCCCAAGTGTCCTAGGCCCCCAAAAACCCAATACAAGATCAGTGCAAATCATTTATTTAGGAGGGAAAGTGAGACAGAGACTGGAGGAAGCTGATACAGGATAAATTAAAAAGCAAGTTGCTCCATGGACAATGAGGGCCTCTTCCTACTGGGGACCTCTGCAGTGTTTATCTGCCTCTGTCAGAGGTTGACAGTTGCTTCCAGAGTGTCAGCCTCAGGCACCTCCATTTGTGGGCCCCATGCATGGGCCGAGTGTGCTCTGGAGCGCTGAGCAGGGCTGCAGTTCATCGGAGGAGGCAGTTGTCAGGGCCTTGGGCATCAGGGGGTCACGGTTGATGAGCTCAGCTAAGTGCAGACGAGTTGCACACTCAAGTTCCAATTCCTTGCCCCTTGTTGTGATTGCAGATCTAATCCTGGCTCGTGCT